TTCTAGAGCAGCCCAGAACAGTCAAACCAAACACTGCCTCTAGAGGGCGCCTTTCGTGTTTTTACACTGAAGTGGCAGCTTGAACTTGGTGGCGCTGTAGCTCTGGTTGGAAGACATAAAAAGTAGAAGAATTAGTGGTTGCTGCCGGTGCTGGCTGACCATTTTGTGTTGTGAGAAGTTTGAGAACCCAAATTTTGACAAATGGAGGATCAAACATATTATTTAGCGCAAGAAAAAGCGAGAGAGGGTGGATCCTCACTGTCAAAGAAGGGAAAACTTGATGGCCAGTGCAGGTTCTACTATGCGCTTGGAAAGGCAAGGGTGAAGGAGGGGGATTGCAGTCTGCAATCTCACCACTAGAGGCAACTAAATGTCACACACTGCACCTTTAATGTACATTGGTTTTATTCCAAGTCATTTTGAAGTATTTCTGTTGGTCCATTCATCATGAAATTTTCACAAAGTGTAAAGGACAACAGCCGTATTCATGGAGATATATACACTGATCAGGCATAACAATCTGACCACCTCCTTGTTTCTACGCTCATTGTCCATTTTATCAGCTCCACTTACTATATAGGTGCACTTTGTAGTTCTACAGTTACAGACTGTAGTCCATCTGTTTCTCTGATACTTTATTAGCCCCCTTTTACCCTGTTCTTCAGTGGTCAGGACCCCCATGGACCCTCACAGAGCAGGTACTATTTGGGTGGTGGATCATTCTCAGCACTGCAGTAACACTGACGTGGTGGTGGTGTGTTAGTGTGTGTTGCGCTGGTCTGAGTGGATCAGACACAGCAGTGCAGCTGGAGTTTTTAAACACTTCAGTGTCACTGCTGGACTGAGAATAGTCCACCAACCAAAAATATCCAGCCAACAGTGTCCTGTGGGCAGCATCCTGTGACCACTGATGAAGGACTAGAGGATGACCAACACAAACTGTGCAGCAGCAGATGAGCTATCGTCTCTGACTTTACATCTACAAGGTGGACGGACAAGGTAGGAGTGTCTAATAGAGTGGACAGTGAGTGGACACAGTTTAAAAGCTCCAGCAGCACTGCTGTGTCTGATCCACTCGTACCAGCACAACACACCCTAACACACCACCACCACGTCAGTGTTACTGCAGTGCAGTCTGTAACTGTAGAACTACAAAGTGCACCTATATAGTAAGTGGAGCTGATAAAATGGACAATGAGCACAGAAACAAGGAGGTGGTCATCATGTTATGCCTGATCGGCGTATATTTATTTGGACAGTGACGATATATTGTTGAAATTATGAACACATTGAATAAAAAGTGCACTACTGCTTTTTTCAGTTTCCAAACTTCTGACCTGCAGTGTATCAAACTCTCAGGTACTGACACATCACAAGATTTGGATTAAGAGCGCTGAACCTGCAGACATGATTGCAGAATTGGTTTAAAAGGGCATGAAACTTAATCTTAAGCGCTGTTAGATCACCACAGTGACCCCTGTCATAAGATGCTGAGTGTCAACTGAAGTTACAGGCCCTAAAAGACCCCCACACACACACCCTCTCTCTCTCTCTCTCTCTCTCTCTCTGCCTCTGTTGGAGGAGCTGCTCTTGCAGTTTTTGTCTATTGTTCTTCTCTAACAGGCCAAAGCTGAACTGCTCCACCCTCTACTTAAACTCATCTGCTCTTTCGAGGATTCACTCTCCACACCAGTCTGTGTTCATTCTAACACAGACAGACGGTAAATCTACTTCCCACAAGACACTAAATAAAAAGCGCTGCATTGAATTTACTTAATTTAAATGTGTACATCATTCTCACATCAATGAAATATACATTACACCAACGTAATTAACGCCAGAAGTAAGCAGGCGAGAGCGAAGCCCAGTCTAATGCAGAGAAAAGTGTAATGGTTCTTCAAGGGTTTTAGTAAAGGGAATAGTTCTATATAGAACCATGAACACTCAAAGAACCCTTTGCATGCTCCCTTGAATGGTGAAATGGTTCTTCAGATTGATGGAGAATGTGCTGTATATGGTTCCCTATAGCACCAAAAAGGGCTCTGCTATAGTTATGATGCCAAGTAACAATAGAAGAACCCTTATTGGTGCTACATAAAACCATTTCACCATGCAAAGAACCGTTTAGGTATGCAAAGGGTTTAAGCATGTAAATGGAGATGTGCAGTTTGCTTGTATGAAAAAATATTCTTGCTTAAATATCTAAAAATATCTATTTAAAACCTGTTAAGTTGCGCTCTGTTTTCCTAAACTGAATGACAGAATTGTGTTGGTGATTTATTCTATTACTGTGGAAATTATGTACATTTTAATTAGGAAAATTCAATGTATTAGTTTTTCAGTGCACTAGAATGAGCCTGCACTGCAAACCCATATGTTTAGGTTTTTAACACTCTTCTTTAACGCCTTTTAAACACCTCAAAATGTTTAATTAAGCGGTTTTTGGTAAGAAACATTAGAAAGCTTGACTTAAATAAACACCAGTGCTGCAGAACAGTGTCTAGATTTTAAACACTGGATGTTATTAGATAATGCAGTCAAGCTAAAAGAGTAAGAGCTCAACTGAATTGAGTGTGTTTACATGCACTTAATAATCCGATAACCGCAGAAAATCAGATTTTGTCAGTAATCCGGTCAACGCGTTTACATGCACTTGAGTAATCAGATAATGGGGAAACTCCAGGTCTACATGAGTCAGACAGTAATCAGATTTCTGCTTTGCAACCAGCCAATAAAACGCACAGAAGAAGACGTGACATTAACATAACGTAAAACTCGAACTTTATGCTGTTTTTTTAAACACCAGCCCATTTGAAAATCTGAAAATTAACCTGAAAATATGAACATACATCATCTAGAAAATGAAGAATATTCAAATCCTTCATTTTGTCAAGCGTGCGTTTGGTGTCAGTGTCGCTCCAACGCTGATTGCTTATTTCCAATGCTGCCATCTGTTCTCGCACATGCTCAGACTGAGAAATCCGAAAGAAATCAGAGTAAGAGTTTACAGCACTGAGAAACCTGATTACTGAGCTAAAATCCAGCTCTCTTTATCAGATTTCTTAATCGGATTTCTAGACCTTACTCTGAACTAAGAAATTAGTGTGCTGTTTACATGTCCATTTGAATAATCAGATAACTGCAGAAATCCGATTATGAACAGATTACTGAGTGCCTATAGACTCACTGAGGTGTTCAGAAAGTGCTACAGAAAAGTGTTGAGAAACTAAACATCTGGATTTGTAGTGTGCCACTGTATGAACGACATCATGTCAGTGGATTTGTAACAGTGCAGCAGCACAGAAGACACATCTTTACTGAGCTGCTCTGTAATCAGCAGCTTTAACAAGTGAAACAAAAGCACACAGTGATGAAGACAATGAAGGACAGCCTACAGTTAAACATTAACCAGCCCTGACTCAGGAGGTGAACCTCCCCGGCTCTGTAAACTCACTGCAGCACCGAGACAAAGTGCACAAAATCATCACAAATCTGAGATCAAACAACATTAATGGACATTTTATCTCCTCAGGCTCAGAAATAGTTACAGCTTCTTTGTTTGCAAGTCAGTTTTGAGGCCTAAACCATCTCAGGACACTTACTGTGACACTGCACACTGCCGACACTGTACGTTACACATTTTAAAACCAAACTGTTTACAAATTAGAAAATACCCGGCTGGCAGGGAACGTTCCCATAACTGTGGCTAACATTACCTACGAGTTCTAATAATGTTTAAAGGAAACCTTTTAATCTAACGTTCAGCATTTCAAATTATGTTCATATAAGGTTACATGTCAACTAAGACGCAACGTTTTAACTACAACATTCGGAGCTTGTTTTAAGAATGTTGTCAGGGCAATAGATTATCACTGCTGTCAGAAGAAAACCTTGTATGTCCATTTTTGTCGTTTTTCAGTTTTCTACATAATTTGAAAATGCCTGTTGCTCTTTACATTGTGTGTAAATTTCATGATGAATGGACCAAAAGAAACGGCCCAAAATGGATCAGGGAAAAGTCTGGTTCCATTGACTTACATTAAAAGTGCAGGAGGTTTTTCCCTTTTCCTGTAAAGTTGCCATTTTGGAGATACAAGGTTTTAATCCGACAACAGCAATATGTTACATGGTGATGTTTTTAGGGAACGTTCCCAGAAGAACATTCTGGAAACAACAACAAAATGCTTCCCAAATTAAAAATAATAGAACGTGTGTAATATTCTCAAAATATTTTTAGAACCAAAGATTTCTAGCTGGGTAAGCAGAAGGAATCGGCCCCAAGCACAAAAGAAAGACTTTTTTATTCTGCAAACTTTTCAAAATGTACAACCTGCTTTTTTAGATGCTGAGTCATAATAATAATAATAATAATAATAATAATAATGCAAAAACTATTCAAGTATGATGTGGTACGTAAACACTGTTAAAGTTTCAAAACATACTATTCACTCTCTACTCCATACAATCAATAGATGCACTGCCAAAACAGCCTGTTTTGAATTTGCCGTTTTTGTGATGTCACAAGAACCAACTCACATACCAGTTTACATATCTCTCTATTCAGCCTACAGCAGTTTAGCCCCATTCGCTCTCAATGAAGTTATAAGGAGTGTTTCATCCCAGGCTGCTTCTGAATGACGCACAATCATACATACATACATACATCATCTAAACCACTTATCCTTCTGGGTCGCGGGTTCGCACAATCTGAGCAGAGCTAATTTGAATTCGTCAGTCTTAAAGGTACAGTAACAAAAACTGCCTGTTTAATTCTGATGGATGAAGAGAGGTTAGAAAATTGTCAGGTATAAATGAATTAAGGTCATTTCTGGTACATAAACAAATACAAATGTTATACATATGTTATAAATATGTAGGATACGGGCGCTTTAAAGTGGAAATATCCAGGATGCATGTTCAGCGTGAAACATCACCAACACTGATCTGAACTCTAAAACTGGCTACACCAACTGACCCAATCATAAGAGTGACCAGCCTACCTCGCATGTCCTGTGACTGGGTGAGGAGTCCACTCACTGTAGTGGTCAGCAGCAGCAGGAGAGCGGTCAGCAGGTCCACAGGCTCCATTCTGCACAGAGAGAGATCTCCTAAGGAGCACCAGCGCTCAACTGCACACTCACACACACTGACAGCAGCACAGCCGGGGGAGTGGGAGGAGCCCAAGCTGGAAGAAGAAACAGTTGAATAATGGGAGGGGCTACACAATAAGACCCCCACCTTCCAAGTTGTTTGGTTGCACCTCTTTTTCCTCCTCAAATGAGCACTGGGGGTGGGGCTGTGTGTGTAATCTCGCCCCTGCTCTCAGCTCAGCTCCAGTCTGAGGGTCTCTGTTCAAGGCAAGGCAGGTTTATTTATACAGCACCTTTCATACACAGCTGTCACTCAAAGTGCTTTACAAATGAGAAAATACAGCCAAGGAGAATAGAAATTAAAAACATGATAAAATCCATAGATTTAAAAGAGAAAATCATCATTAAATTAAAAATCAAATTACAAATGAAACTAGGATAATTAAAAATAGAATTAGAAATTAAAATTAAAAGTTAAATTGGGATGAAAAAAGTGCCGTTATAGAGGAAAAGGGGCTTGAAATGCTAACAGTGTTTGAACTGAGTGTTTTCAGGCCGGATTTAAAGTGTCCAGCGTCGGGGCTCTTCTAATGCTCTTTCTCTCTGTCAACCAGGTCCATTTAAGAGCAGCATAGTAGCTAAACGCTGCTTCTCCATGTCTAGTCTTCTAGAACAGTGTGGTACTCACAGCTTCTGATAAGGAGCCGTTAGCTTCCAGTGTGCCACTACCGCTTTGTTGTAAACAAATAGATTTCAAACCTGATACATTTTTTCCTACATTAATTTTTTCTCTGAATGTCGCTGGATCCTGAAAACTGCTATATCCATGATAATAGTAAGCTAAAACTCCTGCACTCTGAAAGGATGTTGCAAGTAAGTCTTCACTCTTAAAAAGATGGTTCTTCAATGGTTCTTTAGTAAAGACAGTGGTTCTGTATGGGACCATAAACACTCAAAGCCCCGTTTGCATGCTTAAAGGTTCTTTGCATGGTGAAATGGTTCTTTAGATGGATAGAGAATGTCTCGTATATGGTTTTGAATATGATACCGCGTTTAAGTGCCAGTATACACCAATCAGGCGTAACATTATGACTACCTCCTTGTTTCTGTGCTCATTGTCCATTTTATCAGCTCCACTGGAGTTTTTAAACACTGTGTCCACTCACTGTCCGCTCTATTACCTTGTTGGTCCACCTTGTAGATGTAAAGTCAGAGACGATAGCTCATCTGCTGCTGCACAGTTTGTGTTGGTCATCCTCTAGTCCTTCATCAGTGGTCACAGGACGCTGCCCACAGGACGCTGTTGGCTGGATATTTTTGGTTGGTGGACTATTCTCAGTCCAGCAGTGACACTGAGGTGTTTAAAAACTCCAGCAGCACTGCTGTGTCTGATCCACTCAGACCAGCACAACACACACTAACACACCACCACCACGTCAGTGTTACTGCAGTGCTGAGAATGATCCACCACCCAAATAGTACCTGCTCTGTGAGGGTCCATGGGGGTCCTGACCACTGAAGAACAGGGTAAAAGGGGGCTAACAAAGTATCAGAGAAACAGATGGACTACAGTCTGTAACTGTAGAACTACAAAGTGCACCTATATAGTAAGTGGAGCTGATAAAATGGACAATGAGCGTCATAATGATATGCCTGATCGGTGTATACACATATGGGATTTCTATGTCAGCTCAAGTTTCAAAATGGACACGTTTAACTTGTAACAGGCATGGAAGTAACATTCTTTACTTTGCAGGTCTCAGGTTTTAAGTAATACTTTATTTTACAGGCTTTAACTTGAAATCTGTTTGCTGATTAGCTTTCTGTTGACCTGCTGAGCCTGAGGGTGAGGGCCTGAGAGCCTCCTTCTTAACCCAATTATGTCCAACACTAAATTTAGCGAGAAGAAAATGGCACCAGAACTCGTTCTGATTTTTGGTAAAGTTATACCATCTAAAAGTACCCATTTTCATTTTTTGATTGCATGTAATTTTCTTACTTTAATTCACAGGCAAATGTGGACGTTCTATTACATTGATTGTAAAAATTAAAATTAAAAGTTAAATTGGGATGAAAAAGTGCCGTTATAGAGGAAAAGGGGCTTGAAATGCTAACAGTGTTTGAACTGAGTGTTTTCAGGCCGGATTTAAAGTGTCCAGCGTCGGGGCTCTTCTAATGCTCTTTCTCTCTTTCAACCGGGTCCATTTAAGAGCAGCATAGTAGCTAAACGCTGCTTCTCCATGTCTAGTCTTCTAGAACAGTGTGGTACTCACAGCTTCTGATAAGGAGCCATTAGCTGTCAGTGTGCCGCTACCGCTTTGTTGTAAACAAATAGATTTCAATCTACATTGATTTGTTATATTTGTTAAGAATCAGTAGCTCCACCCCTGCTGAAAAAAACAGCGCAGACCAGAATGAATTTCATGCTGGTCTAAGTTGGTTTAAGCTGGTCACCCAACACGATCATGCTGGCTGACCAGCATACCAGCATCTGAAATCGCTGCTCTTGGAACAAAACCTTGTATCACCATTTTTGTCGTTTTTCAGTTTGACATTATTTAAAAATGCCTGTTGTTCTTTACATTGTGTGTAAATTTCATGATGAATGGACCAAAAGAAACGACCCAAAATGACTTGGAAAAAATTCTTGTTCCATTGATTTACATTAAAAGTAAAGTATGTTTTTTCCTTCTCCTGTAAAGTTACCATTTTGGAGATACGAGGTTTTGCTCAGACAGGTGGTTTTATTGGTGATCAGCATATAAACTTCCATTGCTGCAAAAGAGCATCTACAGCACAACATATCATTGCTGTCGGGACAAAAACCTTGTATCTCCATTTTTGTCGTTTTCAATTGTTTTGTTTTGTTTTTGTCATAATTTGAAATCACAGCTGTCCTTACATTGTGTGAAAGCTTCATGATGAATGGTCCAATAGAAATGCTCCAAAATTACTTGAAATAAATAATCTCTCCATTATCTTCCATTAATATTTAAGCATGTTTCCTCCTTCTCCTGTAAACAGCTTTGCTGGTTTTTCTAGCATATGTGACCAAACTGAATGTAGAATGACAAATTAAAATTAACCATATTGTTTCATCAATTTAAAAAAAAAAAAAAATCAGATTTTATATTTTAAACCCAGCCAAAAAAAGGCCACAAATAATAGAGATGACTAAATAGCCGTAAATAATGGAACCCATTCAGAAAGGCCTTGGCGAGTCCCTCGAGTCAGTCTAAAAACACAATCTCAGATTACACACACACACACACACACACACACACACACACACACACACACACACACACACCTCCCCCACAGCGAATATCAGAACACAACAAGACCAACACGCTGATAAACTGCTGAAAGTGAGAATAAACAGAGGAGCCTCTGACCGTCCTGCAGTAAAAGTGCTACTGCGGTGAAATAATGACCCCAGTAGAAGTAAAAGCAGCCACTAAACACCACAGTGGAGTGAAACGGTCTGAGGTTCCAGCGCTGAGTAACTTACAGAACTGCAGTGGAACTTCTTAGTCCACCCAGCATCTCTCAGCACAGGAGCTGAAGTCCGTTCGGCTCTATTCTTCTCTTTCTGGGTCCTTTGTGTCTAAAACAAGAAGCTACAGCTCCAAAGAGAGAAGAGTGAATCAGAGTAAAGCAGAACAGGAGCACAACAGAATGACGCTAAACCCTAAAACCAGAATCAGGAGCTGAATAACAAAAAAAAAGGAGATTACTCACTAATACTGTGCAGAAGTTTGTGCGCCCCTGGTCAAGCTGTATGTTTTGTAGATTTTCTGAGTGTAACAAAGTTTATAATTTGGTCTGTGCCAAATTCTATGTTTTTTCCAAATAAGCTAAATTTAAATAAATAAACACAAAAAGTGCAGAAAAATGGCAATATATTAATTATGATATAAAATCAATAGTGTGTTTTCTATGCAGGATGATTTAACTTATTTACACTTAGAAAACAAAAAAAAACCTGTCATGTTCATTTGACTGCGGGTGTTAAATCATTTGCATATGTAGGCCCAATCACATTTCACCCCTCGCCCCTACCTCATAGCCCTACCCCTCTGTTTTGCGCGTTCACATCTAGGGGTAGGGTGCCCCGATTCTTGTTGAGATAGAGGGGGAGGGCGAAGTGTTAGAGCTACATGACCCTCCAAACGGAGGTTTTTCAGAGACTCCAAACTGAGTGATATGAGAAAAAAAGAAAATCCGGAGATGAAGCACAAGCGACCAAAGAAACCCACAAATGTGAGAATTTTCTCTGTTAAAAATTACAATAATCGATAACAATCGTATTTTCTTAGTTTAATGTTGTTTCAGTGTATTTTGGTCCTTTTCTTCATAACAAGCATTAAAAAGTCGCTAATAGCAAGCTAATGTCTTGGTAGCTAGATAGCTACCAAATTCTAACAAGAACCTGGTGAATATCTGACTTCAGCTTCATATCACTGAAGAATTAGGGGTGGGTGATAATAAATAATTGCCCCCCTCTTTGAAGTCATATGATGCCCTAAATGTAACTAAAGCCCAGCAGTGAGGAGCTGAACTTTACCCTCCTCTGCTGTCACTGCAGACTGGCAGGGTCGCCTACAGAGCAGCGCTGGTAGCTGTTAATGAAGTGATGCTCTTTTTATTTGAGGGTCCCATTTCAGAGGGAAGATTTCAACCACTACCCTGTGTAACTCAGTTCCAAGGGGCAAGGAGACACTCGAAAACAAGGGGTAGGAGTGAAAATAAGAAATGGGACTGGGCCTCAGTGAAGTAAAAGCATTATCACTTTAAAATACTCAGGGAAATACAAACCTTTCAGAAGTTTATTTAAGTACATGACCCTATATATAATATCTCTCACTGTGTGATTGTTGTATGAGAACTATGAGATTATTTAACTTATTTATAGATATTTTTACTTGTTTTAAGTCATTTTATCCAGTAAAATTAGCGTTCTCCATCAGCAAACAAGTTTGCTTGTTTGAAGATATAATGCTTGAAACTTATCTGCAAAGAATACAATAATTTCCCTCAATTAAACAAGCC